AATCTCGCGGGTCTTCTTGTGGCGTGCTCTGTAGACGGCACCATATGCGCCCTGGCTGATCATGTCAAGACACTCGTAGTCGTGTATGGTGCCGTACCATGAACCCGAAGCAGTGATCCTCTGGGACTTTTCAGCGTCGGGACAACCTAACTTTCTCTTCTTCCCGCAACCGGTGGTGAAACCGAGACACCGATCGTCTTCGTCGTCGTCGTACTGTTGGGTTTTCTTGATGTTGACGCCTTTGGGGCCTTTGGATCTGTGGGCTCTCTTTCTGCCCGCGAAGAAGGCGGCGTATCCAGACGGAAGTAGTGTACCTGTCGCCATGCGCGCAATTAAAACCTCCAAAAAACTTTGTTTCGATGGGAAGAAACAAGGAAATAAAGTTGATGTGATTAGCGTATTTCTTGTGTGCAGATTTAGTAATTATTTATGGACCTTCAATATCGGATTTTTACTTGGGTGGAAAGACTAGTTTTTTAACTTGGCTAGCGTATTTATTTATTTTATGTAATTAAGGAGTTTGCAAACCTAAAAGGACGGATTTTGACTTGGGTGGAAAGACTTGTAAATATTAGAATTTCTTTTTTTTGATATAGTTACATTTTTTTATTTTTTTATATTTATAACTTTTTTTCAAATCAATCTTTTCCACTTTTATTTTTTTATCTTTAGACAAGAAAAAAAGATCTTAAAATTATTGTATACATGTTAAACATATAGACTATGGCTACGTGTTTGGTAGTGAAATAAGTTAGCTTATAGCTTACCTAGTAAACCACTCAAAAGGAATTGTACAGAACGCTCCTACCTACTAAACTACAAGAACTCATTGATATTCATTATAATAAACTACAAGATTGACGAAAACATATTTTAAGTTCTAACCATAATATTAATTTTCTTCACAAATATTCACTTTTTATTCGAAAATATTTATAGACAATCGTAACAGGTTAGATAGATTTTTTTTTTTTCAATTAATCAGATGAAATCAAAATGGTCAATTAATCTTTGGCAATATAATTTTTTCTTTCTTTGTTTTATTATACGTACAAAATTAATTATTCTTCAAATTGATATAATTTATCATTTAAAAGATAATTACCACATGTATTAAATAGTTTTACTAATGGTCAAAAAATAAAATTGAAATACATTAAATGTTCTTTAATTAGAATTTATTTGTATATTATTGTCAGTCATGATTAATTTTTTTATCATTTCTTTTTTATTTTTGTCTATAATAAAATTCTTGTAAAATATGTTTTCATTGGAGAGTATGCTACATAAATTAAAGCCTTATGAAGCAAATTAGAAAATTCTTTTGATTATAGAAGGAATTGAATTTTTGGCATTTGTTAAATCAAAGTTGTTTAATTAATTTACGAAATTAAATTCTACAAAAAAAATATATATTTTTTCAAATATTTATACACTATTTAATTTTAAATTTATTTAAATAATTTAAAAATTGATACATAAATAAATAATACTAACGTGAATTGAATATTTTTCATTACCTAAAAAGAAAAAAAAAATACGTACTACTTCTATATTTTTTATAAATAACAATGACATATATTTTTTAATAAATAACAATGACAATATATAGTGACAAAATTTATAATAAAATAATAATTAAATATTATATAGTGAATAAAAACAAGTAAAACAGTTATTTTATCTTACTCAATGAATAAATATATACATTAAAATTAAATTTATCATATTATAAATGAATTGGTAAGATAACATATTAATTAATTTATAATATAACGTTAACATACTCGTATTTAATGTTGGACTAAAAATAACACTTAAAAGAGGCAACTCTATTATTTTTTAGACAGTTAAATAAATATATTACTGACATAAAATATTAATTAAGTTACAATCAGCTCTAACATATTCTATTTAATACTCTATTACTAAAAAACAACGCTTAAAAGAGGTAACTCTATTATTTTTTAAGTTCAACTGTGTATACGTACTGGTTTCATATACAAAGCAACAACACAAAAAAGGGGGTGAAAGCAACAAAACCATCAAGGAAGAAGTAAAACGAATTAAAACGTGGCAGACGCAATTAACGACTTAAACTACTTGAATCCGAACCCATGTCCTCCGGCCATTTTAAAACCTCCGGCCACCCAAACAATCAATATCATTTTTGATATGGCGAAGCAGCACTGGGATGGCAACCTCAGGCGCGCTGAGCTGCGGCAGGTGGCCTTCGGTGTTCATGACCTCCACGACTGACCTTCCACCGACCCTATTGTGTATGTACTCGGCCACGGACACCGGCACCGCCATGTCCCTGGAGCTTTGGATGATGTGGCAGGGGACTGTGACCCGGCCGAGGTAGTCCCTGAGGTCGGAGGTGAAGATAGTGCGGAAGACGCTGCGTGCTATGTCGGGCCTCATGTTGAACAGCGTGCGGCTGAACTCCTGCACCGCCACCGAATCCATGTCCCCCCCAACCACCATCGGCGCGAACCCCGACACCCACGACTTGTAATTGGCCTCAATTGCCCCTGCCAGCTGCTCCACGTCCGCCGGCTCAAACCCACCCAAATAGTCCGCCGTGTTGAGGAACCTAATTACATAATTAACCAATCATGAATTAATTTAATTATTCAATTTCATTCACGAATTAATTAATTAATTAGGTACCTCGGGGAAGCGGAGAGCATGACTATTTTTTGGAAGAGGTCAGGGCGGATGATGGAGGCGATGGCGCCGGTCATGGCGGAGAGAGAGTGGCCGACAAAGATGCAGCTGCGGATGTTAAACTCGTGGAGGATGACGAGGAGGTCGTGCGCGTAGCCCTCGAGAGTGGAGTAGCGCTCGAAGTGAAAGTATTCCGGGTTGGTGGTGCCGGCGCCCATGTTGTCGTAGAGCAACACCCGATAGCTGTCCACCAGGTAGGGCACCAAGTGTTTCCACACTGACTGGTCGGTTCCGAAGCCATGGCCGAGGACGACGGTGGTGTCGCCGGACCCAACGATGTGGACGTTGTGGGCTGCCTCCACTCTATTCATTTTTTTTTTTTAATTTTTTTCTCTTGATTCTGATTCTGCTTTACTCTGCTTTTGCTTTGTGTGGATAAGTGTGGATTTGTTGTTCTTATTTATCCTTTTAGAATTGCTGTGTAGTGTAAGGCCCATTCAGGATTCAAGCGGTGAGCTGTTAGAGCATCTACAATGTATTGGATCTAGTCTTGTCTATATGGTATGTAAATAAACACAAGTTTTTGATGATATGGATAAAATTATGTAAAATTGCTAAAATCTACTCCAATGCAAAGAGACTAAATTTCTACTTGGGTCTAAAATAGACTTAAGGGTAGACCGGGTTTCTTTTTTAGGCTGTCACGTCAGCAGGACCCAGTCTACTTTTGTTTGCATTGGAGAATACATTTTTTTAGACTAGATTTATTTCTTAAGTAGCATACAATTTTTTGTAATTGAACCCAAAACATTGTGGATGCTCTTAGTGTACGTGCTTACACCAGTCAAATATTGGGCCAATTTTTTTGAATTTTCTCGCTCTTATCTTACTACATCTTTGAGAACGCTTATTCAATTAAAATAAAATACTATATTCAAAATAGATTTTTCATCAAGTCTTAAAATATATTGGGTCTAGTCTTGTCTATGTGGCATGTAAATAAACTCCGAGTCTTTGATGACATAAATAAAAATATATAGAATTGCTAAAATCCACTCCAATGTAAAGAGACTATGTCTCTACTTGGGTCTAAAATAGACTTAAGGGTAGACCGTGTCTCTTTTTCGGACTGTCACGTCAGCAGGATCCAGTCTACTTTTATTTGCATTCGAGAATACATTTTTTAGACTAAGTCTATTTCTTAGGTGGCATACAATTTTTTTTTTTTT